GGCCAATGGCCGCCGTGCATGGCTTCCCCCACCTGAATAATGTGATCTTTCCATTACTCCAGCTCTTGCTTATCTGTGCGTCTGTACTACACAGGATCCAGTTTAACTGTCTCGAGGAATTACTCTTATGTACTCGTTACCATACTCCATAGTTTTAGTATTGGCGCATGCACGTCACCCACGGCTACGCATCATTATCGCTCGCCTAGCACTGGTAAACAGTTGACGACCGTTTGAGGGACCTTGCAGCTGACAGTTGCACCGCTGAATTTTCTTGTTCGCAGCCTCGACAGCACATGGCTCGACGTGATGGATCCGACATTTTGCCACGTTCCGAGGTTTTCACGAGCCGCCTCATCGTGAGGCAGCTCGCCCGACCATGCCAGTATCCATGGTAATGGTATGAACGGCCTCCGCACGTGTCGCGTGTTCTCCACAAGCCCTACTGCCATACTTAGCATAGGACCCCTCGATAGCGATCTCCGCTCCGCTCTGCCCCTGGTCTCGTTTCTCACCGCTCGCACTTCAGGCAAAACGCTTTCCGCTCCGACCACCGGCAGTGCGCAGGACCCGAATATCTCCGCCAATCCTAGTCAGCGAGTTGCATCCTGCCGTTGCATCTTGCCGTTGATGTCATAGCACTTTTCGCCGTTGACGCGATTCAGGGAGGCTGGGTGAAGAACCGCGGCGCCGCCAAACCTCCCAAGACCGAAGAAGGCTGGAAAATCGGATGCGATCTACGCCAGTGTACGTAAAACGCAGGCTTAGCCTCGCACTGCCAGCGACCTCAGACTTGGGTTGCGATGCTGCGGGATGACAGATGGATACCCAGCTGCACGCTCAGTACTTCCACATTCGTCCTCGCTTAAACTACAGTTTAATCTCTCAACAACGGAACGATATATCCTCCTCCGAGTACTGGAGGTCGTTGTTGAAAGGCCCGTAAAGAAAGTCAGATCCCAATATTCCCCTCATCGCCCGCTTGATGCGACTGGCCTAAGTACCGGAATGAAATCCGTCCGCTCAACCGCATGTAGATTTGAAAGACCATGGGTTCGTGGTTGACATTACGAGATCTTTAAGCGCAGATCCGCATGTGAGAGACTAGAGGGTGTGGATTCTGCCCAGGCTGATGACATCTCAGGGAAAGTCGGGCCGCTTTTCTCCGGAGTGTGAATCATCCACTCCGTCATCACGACTACATATTGCGCCCTCTGAAGAGTCAGTCTAACCATTTTTCGCGCATTTTCACTGGATGTATACGAGAGTCCTTGACTCGGTAGTTCAAAAACCTGCCTCCTAGCCGTTGGAGTTCTTACGTCGTGTCTGCTTGAGCATATAAAAGGAGCCAGGTATACCTTGACACTGCCCAGGTAACAAAGTGCCAACACATCGTAGACGAAGCCTAAGCCCACAACATCAATCTTTAGCCACCGCTGCAGGAATACGTGTAGGATGACGAACCCTCAATTTGTCGTGAATCTACAGTCAGCATCTCCTTGCCACTAGCTTACTCTTGAGACCGATAATATATCGTAACCTTGGATTCGGGCTGATTGATCTTCAAGATCTACTCATAGGTTGAACTTCCTCAGATTCTAGGTTGATATGGCGGTAAAACCCTGGTTCTAGATGGCCGCAATGGACACTATCTAGCACGGAGCGACAACGAGCATGTTACTCCCGCGTCCGAAGAAAGCACCGGGGGCTACGGAGGCGTTGCCATGGTGCTTGATGTTGGCCTGTCCGCATATGTTCGCTGTTGGGGTTGACTCAAGATTCTCTTCCCCATCATGTAAACACAAGCAAATAGGTCAAGAAAAACTTACGCAGGGACCGAGATTGACATGTGGGTATACCAGAAAGCGAAGAGGGTGTGGAACACCCTAGATTCGGTCCGTATGAGTATGCATACGTCAAGTTGCGCTCTCTGTGGCACTCTGGTGCAAAATGGTCATTTCAACAAGTATCAAATTTGGACCAGGTGAAGGAGCTATGGATCTATCATAAATCCTCATAGCAATTAACAACCATATACCTAATCCATATTCTCTTGCCCAATGTCCAGTACTCCTTGCACCTCCTGCCTCGGCCATATGTACAATTGTGGGCTTCGGGTGCCCTATCATAATGGATATAGAGACGCGCTTTCGACCCGGTCGTAAACCTACAACCCCAGCGCATCGATCATACCACCGTAATCATATCGTCGTCATGTTTAACGCGCCTCGCTGAAAATGGATAAAGAAGGTATCGCGAATAGGCCGTCTCGTGTGCCGTGGTGGTGTGCGCAGCTGTTGCGCGTGTTCGGTCAATGTGAAGTTGACCTCTGGCTGCGCCGCGGTTCGATGTTGAATCAGTGCATGGGAGGCTGGTAGTTGATCGGTCGCCTGTTGGAGAATTAGCTTGCAGCGCGCGGCGTATGCTCTGACACAACGTACTTGAAAAGCAGAATGTGAGGTTCTGGCTCATGGACCTCGTAGTGCTCCCATCCCAAACTCTGTTCCCAAGTCAGCATATATGTTGTAGCCTGTCTTTAAACCACGCGTACCTGTGTGATGCCCAGTGCCCGCCATTCCTCCTCCCACAGCAGCTTCAGTGTGCCTCGCGCGCCGTCGAAGTAGTCTTTTGGGATAGCCTTCAGCATTTGCTTAGGCAGCTGCACATGGCGGTATTCATATGCGTCGTCCGAGTATCTGTGTTCGCGGTCAATAAAGAAAACGCGCTGACCGCCTCTTGTGTTGACAACCCACCTCGCCGAGTAATGAATCGCGTCGACAAATTCATCCAGCTTTTCCTTCTCGTGGTCCGAAAGCGGGCGCGGCTTCTTGTTTCGGCGCGTGAAGTCGATATCCAATTCGCCCGACATGGTGCGCGTAGGGTGGTGTGAGAAGCTCGTGTGCTCCGAGGTCGTCAGTGGGGTGTCGGCGGGTGGTAGAAGCGAGCGGGGCGGGCAGCTGCTTTGGTGGGAAGTCGCAGTCGTGGATGGGAGAAGGAGCGCTTAGATGCAGGGTTTCGTGTTCAGGCGCGTCGGGCGTGTGATTATCGAGCGAGAGAAAGAATAGTTCAAGTAAATGAACCCAAACAGCTCTTGTTTACCCAGTCGTGAAATTTGGTCGATTGTCAAAGCTTCTACGCTAACTCGGCTGCAGCCTAGCGTAACCGTCTTACCACGTTCTTACCGCTGGCCAACGTCTTTCACCCCTGCATCTGCATCTCCGCTGATCGACGTGCAGTCGAGGTTCGATGCAGACCACTCTCATGCGAGCTTACGTACGCTTTCTGTCTACGGTCACCGTTGTCTCTGTTCTTCTTCATCCTCAGACATCTCCGGACATCAAGACCGCCTCACTATTTCACCACAGCAACCAGCCACACCTCATTCAAGGAAAACTCTAAACACCATGGAACCTACATCAAGATGAAAACATGCAAAGTAGGCGACCCAATGTCAGGGTAGGCTCCAGACCCATTCAGCTCTATCCTTATTTGAGGTCGCCACAAATCTTATCTTATGCTAATTCCATGCGAATCGTTGATGAAGCCGCATACATGCCTGGAGGACCCATGTCTTTCGCCCTGCAGTCCTTTCTTGAATCACATACTGCCCACTACCCGAAGCCACAAACAGACGCCCAAGAACAGGCAAATACATGTAGCGTGCGCGTACGCTTACGCTTACTCGTACTTGACAACCGCTACTTGATGGGCGCATCATCGGTTATCAATTTCAACGGTCTCGCCAACATCGATATCACTCCGGGCACACTGGCAATGGTTTCTCCCTGTTACCTCTACGCACCCTATTTTCCCGCTCAAATAGCTTCTCCAGCATCTCGCGCTCCACACAGCCTTGCAACCACGGAGTCTTCATATCCAAGTTTGGCCGCCCAAGCACACCTACGAACTGTGCACAGGCTTCTTCGTTGGACCACTTCCTGATGGAGGCCGCGTGCAGTCGCTTCAACCCCACATTCCATGCTCTCTCGTTGAGTTTACTGCGGTATAACACATTCTCCAAGACCGCGTCTTCTTCCTCCATCTGCTTCGTTTCCTGTCTGGCGCGTTTCAGGTACCGTGTCAAGAGGGTGATTGGGACTGCAAACCCGATGATACCAGCGAGTACAACCGCGAAGATGGCGCCAATAGGACGCGTGTCTTCTGGAGTTGTATCCCTATACGTGGCAGGGTGTATGAATTGAGCCAACGACGAAGGTTGCATATGTTGAGAGTGCTTTGTTGAGGTGAGGTGCGTAGATATTGGTATGTCAATCAGCGAGTTCGCGTAACCACTCTCTCCGGAACCAACGTCCGGATCGAGAACCTCCGAGGCCTTGCCGTACAAGCTTTCCAGCATACCAGGGTACGGATGCGTGTCGACATCAATATGTTCTCCTCCAATGTTCGCCATGATATACAGTGTCAGATTCCGTCGATGTCGAGAGTGTCTGGAATACCAAGGTCTCATAGAATAAAGGTACTGTGTTTGCTTGCTGGTCTATGGAGCCCAGCGTATCATTTGTACGATCCGGACTCGGGTAAAGGGGGGAACACAGCACTATGCACCAGTCTTCGCGGTCATACAAAGCCTATAATATCACCGGCTATAGGTAATATATGACAACAGCGCTGCCAGCAGACAGGATTCACCTGGGTTCACACCAATCGTACAGTCCAGCCTGAGCTACCACGGAGTTGACAGGACGCGTACCAGCTGTCATGGCTACCTTTACGGACATAAGTCCTACTGTGTGCTCCCGGACTAAGATGACGAGCCACGTCAGCATGCAAGCGGCTTTATACGACAGTCGCGCGATGAATACAGGCGCAGCTAGGAAGGTACTTTGGATCAGTCGCACGATATCTCCACGTGCCAACGTTCCTTCAACTATGCCAGTATCTTCCAGATGCTGACATGAGATAGTGAGAGAGCACATTACTCGAAACCTTCTTCATTACAACTACCTCTAGATGCTTCCACCAAACCCTTGTCCACTCTCTCATTCCGTCCGATACTCCCTACACACGATCCCATCCTTATCCGTCCGTTCAATGACCCTAGATCTCTTCGGTACAGCGCCATTATCCACCTTCCCATCCCTCCACTCCCACCTCAACTGTTTCTTCGGCCTAACCACCACCGCCTGTGTCATCTCCGACTTCTTCTCCCCCAAATCCCCATGAACCACATTGATGCCTTCGTCCGTAACTCCGCGCTCCAACCACTCGCTCGCTCTGTCATCACTTGCGCTCGTCTTGATCTCGGGGAGTAATTCGATCGATGGTGATGGCGGTACGGACGAGTAGCGTTGCTGTAGGTCTTCGTAGTGCTCCTGTTGTATTTGTTGCCGCGAAAGGCGATGCGATAGGCGGGACTCTCGGCCGGATTCGAGATCCAGTAGAGCGGGCTCCTGGGCTGGTTGTTGACTGGCTTTTCTCTTGTGTCGATTGATGAGGCGGATGATGAGGCAAAGCAGCATCAGGATAAGAATCGTAGATGTCAGAACGATAAGGGCAAGGAAGAGATCCGTCAGAAAGCTCGTATCGGCCATGTTAAACGTGCCCATGGCGAAAATGACGATCTGCACCAACGCCTGCAAAAGGACAGAATGGAGAGAGTTGCAGATGTTGTGGCGCCTGCTGCGAGAGGTATACTGCAGTACTTAAGCCTGTCAGGTGCAGCATGGGAAGTAGCCACTAATCAAGAGAGTTCTTTATCAGACAGCCGGACCAGTAAAAGGATTCTGTACCCATGCATGAGCTCAACTGTACGAGGGTCCGGCTAATCTGCTTCGTGGTCGTGTTGTGTTGTGCAAAGTGGTACATAATATGGGAGAGAGAACTTGCACGACACTCCATCGACTCGAGGGACAGCATATCCCGTTTGAAGGTCAAGGCCTTGCCATCACACGCACAGGAAAACGCTCAAATCAGATCAGGAATGACAGCTCTTTGGTCGACCTAACGGGTATGTACAAATTTGCAACTTAAGCCGCCTGATCCAACGCGCCCGTGTGGTCATATACAAGCCTAACCCTAACAACCTCATCACTCCCCACCTTCCTAACCACAAACTTCCTCGTCAGCTTCCTCTCACCCCCAATATCCGCGAACCCCCAGATCTGCCACGCAGTCCATTTGTTTGCCTCATTTTCCACAAAGCTCTCGACAACATCTCCTTCTTCTGTCTCCTTCAACCACCCTTCTGCCACGTACTTTGCATCTTCCTCGCCCACACCTGCAGCCTTTCCTTCTTCGATTGCCTTGGCTAGGGCAATGTAGCGCGACCGTCCCTTGACGGTGCCGAAGAGCCTGTCAACGTGCTCGCGGTAGTGCCAGTCTAGGATGCGGGTCTCGGTGGAGCCTTTGATGCCGCCGGTGATGAGTTGATCGATTTTGATCTCTGTCGTTGGCGTGTTGTCTTCGCCGTCTATGGTGGTTTGGTAGAGGTGTTGGGTTACGGTTGCTGCGCCGAGGGCTTTGCGCGTCAGCCAGCCCATGCCCTGCAGGGCGAGGACGGCATCGAACGCATCCGAGAGGGACTTGTTCTATGATGTGTTAGAGCGATGTTACGATGCACGAAATGAGGAAGGTATGCAAAGAACACCAGGACTTGAAAGCTGCTTAGAACTTACCATGACCCATTTCCCCTCGAGCTTCTTGATATCAACACTTGCTGGAGCTGCCATATTGCCTAGTGTGTTTGTTGGTAGAACCGTAGTTTGGTACGATCCGACTTCGTCGTGAGGAGAGCTTCGACAGCTATCGCGGGGCTATGATAATTGGTAGCGGTGGGTACCGTCCTAGTTGGGGCGGCCATGTGCAGTGCATCTTATATGCCGGTCGCCCAAGCACCAAGCCTATCCAGAGACGCCGTGTGGATTAGCACCTGCCTTAGTCGACAATCGCACACTGTCACGTTCGTACCTGAGCGAACATCATGCGTGGCGTCGTGGGAAGGGATGCCGAGGTTCGTCTGCTTTGGGATAGCACCTCCGCGGGGAACCCTGGTCTTCCATCTCATTTGCGCTCGCATCAACTCTCTCCATTCTCCGGAGTCCGCAACCACCGACGGCACACCTCCAGCTTGGGACGGGTCGCATGTGAACACTGCTCGGGAGAAGGCTTCCTGGACACGTAACTTCCCGTCTAGGGTTGGATGGGCCAGTCAGAGGAGCATGATACTGAACGCAAAGCGCTGACATGCGATGAGGTGATTTTTAGCTGCATCTCCTCATCATCCCCGATTCCATACTTGTCCCCCTGTGCGCCTTTCTTCGATCAGTCTCTACCTCCTCCCCCCTTGTGGAATCGAGCTTGATGCAGCCCAAACGAGGAGCAAACAGAAGACATGACCAGGAAGCCCAAAGATGGCTTCGAAGTGACACGATGTTGCCGCCGGCAAATGGCTCAACAATCGCCGAGTCTCTTGTAAACCTTCTATCGCGCGCATGTGCGCCAACACTTGGACTTCACTCACTGGAGAAACGTCTGCCACTCCGCAAGAACTATTCTAAGAACAGTTCCCTCGCCGTACCTTACTCCCATGAGCATTCATCAGGCGCCGCACGTTTCGGTTCGTGAAATGTTCCGAAACAACGAGCATGTTTCAATGGCCGCCGACATGGTGAGGCTTAGCGCGCAAGCACGTCAGAACTTGCAACAACCGACGGCACAGGGGGGCGAGTATCATTAGAGAGTTCGCATCTGAAGTAAGGCTGCGACACGGAACGTATGTTGCTGGGGTTGGTCGATGCCTCAGATGTCATGTCCAAACTACCCAGCCGCTCGGTAATTTTCCCCTCAGCTTCAAATCTGGTTCGCGGGTTGCTTTTGTTTACCAGGCATCTCAACACCTGCTTTGATTATCTCTCTTTCGAGCGCGCTGGAACTCGCATCTCGCATCTTCTTCTTTTTTCGTACCCGCGTCTTCGTCAGAAGGTCACTTAATTTTCTTGTGGCACAGTCGCACAGAGTCTCATCAAACTTCTCGTCACTTGGTCACTCATTGGACGTACACACGGCTTCGCGCAGCACCATCATCGTATTGCCCCATTTCAGACGGTTACAAGCGCAGTGAAAGACAATTTTGTACGTTCCAATCGGTCTTGCGATCTTGAATTTTTGCCAGCAAAGTGGCTTACCATCACTCTCATTTCTACAGCGGCTCAGGAAGCCCGGGTACATAACGACTTGACCGAACGGTTCCCAACGATACTTTCTTTTTCTCAACGTCCCAAACGGTCGAACTGAACAGAGGGACCGAGCACTCTTTCCCCGCCCGATTCGACGTCATATCGCGCAAAAAGCTCGCAGTCGTGCATCGCAGTGACTCCACTGCACGCGTTTGTTTGTCAACAACAACCTACTATATTCACGACACTCGCTCTCGCTGAAAAACCACGCTCGTTCATTATTATCCCAAAGAAGAATCAATCACCCCACATTCTTTTACCCGCCACGCGAACATCACGCCAACTCATCTCAACATCATATCAATCACCCCCAAACCGCACACCTCTATACGACAATGAAGCCCATCTCCATCCTCATGGCCTTCGCCTCCACCGGCGCCTTCGCATCAGCAATTAATTTCCCCAACCTCCAAGACCGCGCCATTGATCCCGCAACCATGAACCCAACATTGCTCTCGGTCTTGTCAGTGCTCAAAACAGCTATGCCCACGGGCCCCAACGCCCCCATGCCAACAGGAGATATGGAGCCGAATTGGTACCAGAAATTACCCGGAGACGTCAAGAGTCTGTTGCCGGAGCTGTATCCCGCTGCTGCGGTTGCGACGTCGGAAGCGGGCGCGGGGGTTGTGAGTCAGGCACAGAGTACGGATACGGTGGTGGTGAGTGCTTCCTCTTCTGCCTCATCATCTTTGTCGTCGCTATCCGTGTCTTCCTCTGTAAGCGCATCTGCGTCTACGTCTACACCGGCGTCGTCGTCTTCCAACGCCAGCGATACTTCTCTCACCCCCACGTCGATGTCAACATCACAGACCACACTTACTAAGACATCGCAGTCGGCGTCAACAATCACCGATGTAGTGTCGCCTTCGTCATCCGAATTATACTCGGAGAGCGCTTCGCCGACAGCGTCTTCTGCAACTCTAGCCAGCGCTTCAGCTACGCCATCGAACTCACCGTCTACTGGCAACAGATTCGTGGTCAGGACAGAGACACTGGCCGCAATCGCCATGTTCAGTGTTGGAGCCGGATTCTGCATCTTTGCATAGCCTGATAACGATGTATGCTACTGGACGTTTGATGAGACTACGCTGCGATCGGTCCGCATTCTTTCCTCATCTTTTCACGGGTATCTTTTGGAGTTGTATGTGAAGTAAAAGAAGCGGAGTATTTCTGGATATTGGGCGGACTGGGCGCGACCCCGCATGACGAGATGATGGCTTCCATGCGCTGAGCGCTATACGACGAGCTTTGAGCGGGAGTACAACGTGTGCTTTCGCATGTTTATTCTTTGTATATCCTTTTTGAGATATCCCCACACGATACGATACGAATGTAATGTAGCTTTCTGTTTAATCCTGTAAATAAAGACCCTACTATGAGTGCTACTGTTCCATCAAATACGTCTCTCCATGTCCCGCACGCAGTATGCTTTACAGAGACACAAACCCCATGACAGCACTGTTACTCCCTCAGAGACAAAGCACACCCGCAACCCTCACCCCCAGATCCAGCACAGCAAGATGTTCATCCCCACCATCCACAAGCCTCTTATCCGTCTCACTAAATACGCCCGCAAGCCTAACCTTCTTAACATCCTCAACCCTCTCATCGTACATGATCTGTTCGTACAACTGACCCACAGTCTGCGACGCACTCCACCCCTCTGCAATCATATTCTCCACCACCTTGGCAATCTCGTTGTAGCGTATCGACTTGGTAGCTGAGGACTTGGGGAATAGCGAGTCGCTGAAGGAAGACAGTGTAGCTGGCGGTAGCACACCCGCGATCTCGGCGATAATAGGGAGGGAAACAGCGGGTGTCTGAGCTGGCGCCGCCGCAGAATCGATATCCATCTCGTCGTCCTCAGCAACAACCTTCTTCTTCTTTTTGCCTCCCGCACCTTGAGCTTGTACAACAGCACCCACAAGCCTAGCCGCGGATTGCAAAAACGTGATTGCCTTTCTCAGATCGCCATCTGCGACCCGCACCAACTCCTCCGCAACCCCTTCTTCCAATTGCACATTCTCCAGCCTCGCGATATCGCCCACACGCTTAACCGCGTTCCCCTGATCCAGACTCTTGAATCGGAACTTCGAACACCTCGACGCAAGCGGATCGATAATCCTCGTGACGTAATTACACACGAGACAGAACCTCGTCATGCGACTGTACGTTTCCATAGTCCTACGCAGCGCACTCTGCGCATCCTGCGTCATACTATCCGCCTCATCCAGCACGATAATTTTGAACGGCGGACACGGGTATTTATCCCTGTACCGCACTGTCTTTGTCTCGCCGCTGCTCGCGTCTTCCGTCATGACGTTGTAGGTGGGCGCTACGCTGAGTTGCTGGCGCGCAAAATCCTTGACTTTTTGCCGCACGATGCTGATGCCACGTTCATCTGAGGCGTTCAGTTCAAGCACGCGCGACTTCATGAGTTCGGGACCGTAGAGTTCTTTGGCAAGGGCAAGGATTGTGGAGGTTTTTCCTGTGCCTGGCGGGCCGTAGAAGAGCATGTGCGGCAGGTTGGAGGATTGCATGGTGCGGGACAGGATTTGGATGGTGTTGTCTTGGGCTGTTACTTCGGAGAGGGTTTTGGGGCGGCTGTGATGCTGTTAGTATGGGTGCGGAATGGTGTGCTTAGGTGCTGCGTTCGTACTATTTCTCAACCCATGGCTGCATGCGATTGGGCTCTTGCTTCGTCGTAGGCGCTTTTGATGAGCTGGCCTTTGCAGCGGCTTGCTGCCTCGCTTTTACGTTGAAGAAATCGGCCATTGTGGTGGTTGTGTGGAGTTTGAGGTGTCGAGGTTGGGATGTTGAGCTGGACTGCTAAAGTGCGACGCGTCGACGCGAGACCGCGAACTCACGTTTCTGCACAGACCACGTCTTCTTTCTCTAATCACATCATCATCGCGGCATACAAAGCAGTTCGCCAATCCTCAATCATGCTCAAAAGTTTCAAAGACCGTACAGATATTTCCATAACAACGTCTATATTAACAAATCAGATAGGTTGAGCGATTCACATAGAGCAAGCTATACCTTCAGACATGTCTCACGGCAGAAGATGTCAAAAACACAGTTCAACGGATATATTGCACACCCTGATTTCCTCTCGACCGATCACCAGATGCTAGAAATCTGCGACGACGCCAGGCAATGCATGCACCTCCGCTCATACCTAGCTCCTCAACTCCACCAGTATGCCCACTACTTCCAGGCTTCATGAGCCTTTCCATTGTCGCTCGGGTTACAGACCTATGGTGTCAGAGGTCGCGCCCCAGGAGTGTGACTAGCCTAGACTAATCTACTTCCCAAGCTTAACCCCCTTTACCCTCTTAGCCAACTGTACTGAATCGGAATCTGAGCCATAGGAGGACTGTCGCATCGTACCGCGGGTGTGGTCTAAGGCTGCAGCCCCCCTACTGGCCGACTTGGATTGGGGCGAAGATTGATAGGAACGTTTCGGGGGGCGCTCACCACTTTCTTTGAGAATGGTCAGAAGGGTTGCCCAGCCTCCGGTATGTTGGAGCGCTGAGCCTTCTGAGGTGTCGTGCGTTGATGCTACCTTGAAGAGCAGTGACTCTTCGTCCTAGTCGTACAGTTAGCATCATATCCATGCAGTTTTGCAGTGACGCACCTTTGACAGAATGCCGAGGTTATGGATAAAGCATAGCATGTGGAAATTGGAAATGGCATTGAGGCCGCTGGTCGTGTTGAGCGCCAGCCCGTTCGCTCTGGCGTTGAGAGCTTTGCCAAGATGTGAAATCTCTGGCATCTCGCCCATAGCCTCGCGGTTCTCGATCGGGAACTTGCCACCAGTGAAGAGAGGATTTGGCTGAGTAGGGAATCCGTGTGTTAGTGTGAGAAGCAGATATTCCACGGGGAAGTCGGGTTTGGCAATCTCTTGTACGTTCGCACCGTGTTCGTTGATTCTTCTGTAGAAAACTTCAGGGATGTACCGCGCGCGATTCAAGGCTTCATTGTCTTCTTCCGACTGAACAAGCATGACTGATGGCTCGGCTGAGGGCTCGATGATGTCTGCGCGGACCATCTCGACGGCGTCGTTCGAAACCTGGTACGACGAGATGCCAATCTGACCTTGATCATCGCCGCTGATTACACACGTTACAAAGTTGGATCCGTGTCGTCCAGTATCGCTCCACTTGGAAGGCCGGGGGTACCTTGCTTGGTACCGTGCTGCGAAGCAGATCTCTAAGGAGGAAAGGTAGTACGAGTCCATATGACGCTTGCAGATGACAGAGCCGTCGCCCTTGTCCGCGTCGAGGAGATCAGTGAAGATCACACCGACGCGTTGCAGCCCACACTGTGCGGCAATCTCGTCAATCTCCTTCTCGTTGTCCCATTCGCCTAGCGAGATACCGTCCGCCTCATTGACTTGCGGTGGCTCATAGATGGTCTCGACAACAGCCTTTGTTCCCAGCGGCACCTCAGTATACTCCTCGTACCTGCCGTACAAGAAGCCCAGTCGCTGACAGCCCGTTTGTCTCCAGAAGTTGATCACATCGTCCACCACCTGTATCGAAGCGAACTCGACATGGTCTACCATGCGGTACTCTTGTGGCTTCAGCGAGATGGCGCTAGGCATGCACTTGGTGCAGATACCCTCTGGGAATGGCTTGTGTCCCGATGGACAGTCGGGGCGTACGCGGTAGTAGGGCTCGGTCAGCGGTGGCATGTACGAGCTACCGAGCTCTGGTCTGTTCTTCGCCGAGTTGACTTTGCGCAGGTATGAATGGAAGGAGAGGTGCTTGATCTTCTTCTCGGCGAGGTATGCGGGCGAGTAGGGTTCGAGGGGCATACAGTAGTCGCACATGCCCTTGGGCCCGTGGGAACACATGCGGGCGTCGCGTTTCCTGGGGATTTTGCCATCCTGTCTATCTAGCCTGTCGTCGAGCGGGGACTGCCTGACAACCTCCCATGGGTTCTTTATAGTTTGCAAAGCATCGCCGATGGGAACGGAGCCCATGTTGGTCTCTTCGACGGGTTTGCCATTCAGTCGTGCGCCGCCGGTCGAAGGTGCAGCATGGCCATTCGGTGCCGCAGACTGCTCCTCGAAGGATAGGAAGAGTTGCGCGCCGTTTCTATAGTATCATTAGCTGTGAAGACAAGCTTGGGTAAGCTACGTACGATAGTCCCACTTGCTTGAAGCTCACGCCCTCAAGGCCAGCAAGCTTCCTCGCGTCGCCTCCCTGCGGCTTGTTGCTAACACTGATGCTCTGGATGTCGACATTCTTGGGCAGCTTCTCGGCAACCTGGGGCAGAATCGACGAGAAGGTGTCCTCGGGCTGTACCGTCAACCGGAACTGGCCGTCTTTGCTAACGAACTGGTGCGAATTAGTAAGATATCACCTGCATTGGGCATAAAGACATACCCTCAATATCATGATCGGAACGCTATGAATTTCGTGGTGGAGTGGATAAAGGTGATGCTGGTGGTAGGGTATAGGGAGGAGATTTGGGAGGGAAGCGCGACCGGAAGAAATAAGTAGACAAAGGCGAGGTGCAGTGGTGAACCTTGGTTGGTGTTGGTGATTGATTCGAGAAGGCGCCTGTAGCGGAGCGGACATGGATGACGCAGACGCGCTAGAAGGACGCTAGTCTGGCGCGGAACTGGACAGATATTCGAATGTATCGATAAGTGAGACAACAGCGACTTGCCCTCCCTCTTGGTCTTCACCTACCCCATATCTCACTACTGAGAACACCGTCGCTCCTTCATATTCTAACGTCAGCGCCTGCATCGCATCCCGAGCTTGTCATACCTCTTCACATTCCGCGCAAACAAAGCACACACAACCCACACAACATTCACCATGTGGCCCTTCGACATGGTCGACTGGGTAATGCTTACCGTGCCCATCGCTTACATCGGTATCCTCGCCGGATCATTCACTGTCTTCACCAACCTCTACCGCAAGCGTCAAGCCGCGAACGCCGCATCCCTCGAACCCTGGTTCCCCACACATCTCCAGCGCAATGTCTACCTCTCCCTACTACACATGGACGAACCCAAGGTGCCGGA